GGAGATTGTTTTTAATTTGTTATTAAGCATCTTTACAGTTGGAAGTTAGTGTGTGGTGCTGATGTTTTATAAATTGTAGTGCATTTAATGGAATGAGTTACCTTTCTTCCTCAATTCTCTTTGTTTGTCAAAGAAAAACGAGAAAAACTAATATATTGTGAATCCATTTATATTTGTCATATTTTCCGATAATCATATTAATATTAACTGAAGTTATATAACTTTTTTTCAATTATTATAAATTATTTTATCTTTACATAATAAAAATAGAATTTCATTATGAAAACTTCAATATTGTCAATGTATTTACATATCAATTATAGTCCACAATTAATTGCATGAAATCCAATTTTTGTTGTACTCGTTTCCCTTTGCATGTTGCTTTAATTACACTAACGTAGTAACGTGGGAAAACACTTTGCATAAAAACCTAGAAAACAAAATTAATTAAGAGTGTACTAATTGTACACTAACTAAATTACCTTATTGATTAAAAAAATGGTTGTTATTGTTAGAAGTTTCAATTCGAGCTTCAATGACTACAATAAAATTAATTGAACGATCATTGTCAAATAATAAAATATTTTGAATATATATTATTATAATTACTTTAATTTAATAAAAAGATAGTATATTCATCGTTCGAGTACCCGAGATCATTAGCAAATCGCGGGTTAGAGTCAGCCAATAGCCCAATAATTGAAGTTAAAACCGTTATGAGGAATTTAACATTACCCAAAATCAAATCCTTTGAATCATTACTAGACATGAGCCTAGAAACGTCTTAGTCCCGCAACAAAGATTATGGCGTCAATGTAGAATTTAACATGCAAATATGATTATGAACACGGGTTTTTTCTCTCTCCCAGTTCTAAGGATTTTCCTTAATTAATTTGATCGATCTACGTCGCACATTTGATTTTGGTGGGTGAGTCTCCCAACAAAGATTTTTTGCATACACAATGACTCGAACCTGAGACATTACTTAAGCGAAATCAAGTTGCTTACCACTTGAATCAACATATGTTGGTTGAACACGTGTACTTTGTGACACGTGTACTTTGTGACACGTGTTTAAATTTGAGACCACTATACTTTTAAAAAATTTACTAATTAAAAATATATGCACTCCTAAAAAAATTTTAAATTTAATATTAATTCTCTCCCTCATTTTTTTATCTTCTACATCAATCAAGAAAACTCTTGCTATTATCTCTTTTTTTTATATAATATTTGATATTTTATAATTTTACTTTATTATCCAATATTTTAGAATGTTTAATTTTACTTTATTATCAATATTTTAAGATGTCATTTTAAAAAGCAATATATGACCTACTTATATCTTTATTATCAAATATTAAGAATGTCATTTTAAAAAACAATCTTATTATTTGTTCAGAATCATTTATACAACGAATGAAAGCTTAATACATAATCAATAATATATAATATATATATATAAACGTACTCCTCGTTATTACCACGCTCCACTCTAACCTTGGTATCAAAATATATATATATATTCATTCCAAAGGGACTGTCAAATAATCCGTCAAACCACCCATGTTAGCGAGGCTGTCAAATTGTCTCATGCTATGACCTTGGCATTTAAGTACATGGTTTTTAATTATAGTTAAACAAAAGTCCAATGTTATGCCGACCTCTTCGTAGTCTTTTCTCCTCTCTTATTACCTCCATGTACTTTTCCTTGTCTCTTTCCATAGCACACTCTGACACTTCTTTAAATCACACACACACACGCATATATATACATGCAGTTATGGGTTGATAGATATAGAGAGCTGTAAAAACCAGAGGGAGGTCGATGAGCTTAAATTTCCCCGAAACATGTCTCTGCACCAGTTGTGGAGTCATCAACCAATGATTGAACTGTAAGTTATTTCTTGTACGGAATTTTCTTCTCACTCACACAAAAAATATTCCAACTGTCTTTGATCGTGTACTGATAATTCTGTCACAGTTTGGAATAAAATGAAGCTACAAAACCCTAAGTTTAATTTTAAAATTTAGAGTTTAGGGTATGTCATTGATTCTGCCTGGCTCCCTGCATGCCAACTATGGATGCTGTCGATTAGTGTTGACCCTTCCTAGTTGGCATCCGAGGAGTCAGGCAGGTCGATATCGCTTACATACCGAACGAAGAACCATGGAGGTTCCCTCGGAGTTCTTTGCTGAACTCTGGATAATTGTTGCTGGTCATTGTTACATTAATTGACTATGTTGTTGATCATGACCTTTCTGATATTTGGACCGAGACAGTTAGGAAAATTCCTTTCGGTTAAGATACAATGGTGTAATTCCCTTTGAAAAAAAGGGCGGGGCAAACTTGGAGTAAATATAGCAAATTGGTTTTGAGGCCATTGTCCTCGTCCCCTTGTTTCGGACACCATTTTTGGCTTACAACCTTTGAATGGAGATTTTCACTCCATGGAAGGACAAGGTTCCCTGTCTGTTCTTTCATTCTGTCTCTTTCCCAGAAAAATAATGACAATTTCTGCTCAAAACAAACCAGACTGCTCACGGATTTCCCTTCTGCAATTTGTTTTGGCACCACTTTTTATTTTTCTATCCCATTGGCCAGAAGCTAAGATCTCAGCTCCCTTTAATCCCATGAAACTTTCCAACACAAGGTAACGTTATTAGATAGGATTATAAACAACTTATATGTACAATCCTGGGAAATATTTTCACGATAAGATCAGACCAGATGCAGTAGAATTGAATCATTAAGGCTTTGCATGAAAATAAAAATTGCATTTACAAATGGCATTTCATTTCCGTGAGAGCAGTCAGTTTCAGGCTCGGCGTATTATGCAGAAAGAATAACCGAAGAACCAAGCCCTACGAGCAATAAAAACGCTCAGACCACCGTCACGTTGGTGTACCAAACGAATGTAGTAGACTATTATCGGAACATCAAGGTTCTATGGTGCAAGAACGCTATGAACCATTCTCTCAGCATCATGGAAAAACGCAAGGGAATTTCCAGTACTCGTGCAAGATCGATCTTAAGCCTTGGCATTTCTGGAGCAAAAAAGGGTATAAATCCTTTGAGGTTGAAGGGAGCCAAGTGGACGTTTACTGGGATCTTTATTCCGCTAAATTCACCGGCGGCCCCGAACCCGTCTCGGATTATTACGTCTCGCTTGTTGCCGACGAGGAGGTGGTTTTGTTATTGGGGGATTACAAGAAAAAGCATACAAGAGAACGAAAGCGGACCGGCTTTGGTTGAACCTCTTGATTTCAAGAAGGAAAACGTGCTCGCCAAGAAAAGCTTCGCGACCCGAGCTAGATTCGAGGACAATAGCAGAGAACATGACATTGTTGTTGAGAGTTCAATAACCGGAATGAAAGACCCAGAAATGTGGATTAGCATGGATGGGGTAGTTTTGATTCACGTCAAGAATTTGCAATGGAAATTCAGAGGGAACCAGACCGTCTTGGTGGATAACAACCGGTTCAAGTCATGTGGGGATGTCCATGACTGGTTGTTCAACAGCCTCGGAACAGGCCACGGTGTGTTTATATTCAAGCCGGTGACGGCTGAAGCAGAGAGTGACAAAGAAGGAAGTGGCCACGGTGGAGGAGACAGCGACACTGCAAGCAAGTATTATTCTACACTAGGTGTCGACACCGCATCGGAGTTCAGCCTATTTCTTTATGCCTGGAAGATTGAGTGAAAAATATTGAAAGTTTTTTTTAATTGCAGTTTCCGTTTTACAAAAAGAAATACATTACAGGTAATTTCATGCTTGTATAATGTTCAAAATACTGTAAATTATATACTTCATCTTACAATAATTGTTGTATATATTATTTTTGTTCATATCAATAACATTTCTTTATATGCTTCATCTTGTGAAACGTCCAAGAAGCAAAATGTTTAATTAAAAAAAAGCATACATTTACAAGATTAATCTAACAAATCAAAAATAGAAATGAGAATTTGATCATAATTGACTGATTATACAACAAAACGTGAATGATAAAAAGGATCCTACCACAACTGTTTGAAAATTGAATAGAAAGAAAGAGTTAATTGCAGCATATGTCCCTAAACTATGACTCTCTTTTTAAATTGATTCATAAACTTTGAACATTCCAATTTCATCCCAAACTATGACTCATTATAAATTAACCCTTAAACTTTTGAACATTCTAATTTTATCCCTAAAATATGACCCTCTTTCAAATTTAGTCCCCAAACTTTTAAATATTCCAATTTCATCCCCAAATTCATCCAAATATGGAATTAGTTTCAACAATAATTTAACCTAAATTTTGATTTTTTAAACAATAATAATATAACTTAACCTAAAAATTTATTAACAATGAATGTGATTAGTATATACGTATTGTTTGGGATAAAATTGGAATGTTCAAAAAGTTTGGGACTAATTTAGAATCAATGCCATAGTTTGGGATGTAATTGAAATGTTCAAATGTTTGATGACTAATTTAGAATTATAATAATAGTTTAGGGATGAAATTGAAATATTTAAAATTTTAGGGGACCAGTTCAAAATATGAGTCATACTTTAAGGACATATTATGCAGTTAACTCAGAAAGAAAGGGTGCAGGGTATCAAAACGAATTCCCCTTTTTATTTTATTGTTCTCCAAGAAAAACTGCTGGAAGGAACGAACTAGCGTCGTTTCCATGGATCTAAAGGAAAATCTGGAATCACTCTCTCTCAAAACAGCGAAGAAAGCCATAGTGGAAATTATGGAGATTAAAGGTAGATTCGAATGTGTTCTTCATTTATCAGGACGAAGATGGGTTCGGAAATGCCATCGCCCGAGTTCTGAACCTACTCCACAGCCTTATAATAAAGTGTGAGTCCCCTCTCTCTTTCTCAGTCCCTCTTTGGTTGATTTTTATTAAAAGCTCTGATTCAGATTGTTGCATTTTCATTGTTTATATTGTTTCAGCTCAGAGGTATTGAACTTGGAATTGGGGGATGTAAAATTGAATGGCTGTTACTCAATTGAGAGAGAAAGACGATTTGAAGGTACTGTTTCCTTCCTTTAGCCATTAATATCGAAACCCATTTATTTAAATTACAGTTATTTTCGTTGGTGGATATAGTTTTGTGGATTTGTTTGTAAATGAGGAACCTATAGAGTTACTCCATTTTTTTGAGTGTTTGGTTCCTGATAAAATAAGAGGACTGCCTGCTGTGGTATTGTTATTTAGTTATCTAAAAGGTTAAAAGCCCATTGGTAAGTGAGCTTAATGGAACCCTCTTTCACTAGTGAACGCTCGCCATCTGCATATTCAAACATGATATTTTCGTGTTGAATTAAGTTTGACCTTTGGATTTTCCCTTGTGGCTAATTTAGAAATGTTTTCCCACTGGATTGATGTGTTCTTAGTTGCCTGTCATGTATATTCATAAGTTTTGATCTTATTTTGTTTTTTAAAAGAAGGAAATGGAATGGAATTTTGGAGCTTTATTGACTAAGGGACGAAGAATGTCGTTTAAGGAATTGCAGAACAGTAGAAATAATCTAAACTTATGATAGAAATTGATTTAACGAGTGAATCGAATGGTAGTTTGCATCACTTTCTTTTTAAGCCTTCTTTGTGTTGGTTTTGTGTATTTGGCAATCTTAGTGGTTAAGCAATCATCCTTGAGAAACAACGATCTTGGCGCCATTTGTCTTAAGGATGGGTGTATCAATCCACTGAATTTCTAACGTCTGGGTTTATGAGCAATAACTAGAACAATGACTTTAATACTGTCTTTGGTAGGAGGGAAAGAGTAAGGAACGATAAGGAGTGGAAGGACAAACAACGTTCTTTCCACCCGTCATTGTTTAGGAGGAATAGAAATAAGAGCGAGGGAAATGAGAGCATTTTTATTCTGTACTCATTCAACATAAATTAGCAATTTTAATTGAAACTGTACCAAACGTACTGAATCAATTTTTTTTCTTCATATCCATTTTCTTTCCTACGATACATGGTGTGAGGTGCATATTTATGTTGTTTATCTTGCTTGCTGGCTACATGGCGTGAAGTGCATATTTATGTAATTTTATCCTTTGTTTATCTTGCTTGCAGGCAACTATGGTAATGATAGATCGTTTGGAGCCACCAGCACTGTCTCGGGTTATATATTCAGTTCTGACAAAAATTGTGGATGCAGAGCACATATCATCTACTGTACCCACTATCATAGCCCCTTTTCTTGTACCGGCATCAAAGCTTAAGTTGGAAGGTAGATTGATGACAACAAATAGTGGAAAGTTTCCTCTTTATGGTATCCAAGTAGGCCCTAAGACTGATGTAAGTCGAGCCATTGCTTCCAAAACCCAGAAGCCACCTCCATCTTTGCAAATTCATTACGAGCCTCTGGCCTGCTTTCTTCACCTGGTTCGTGCTGCAGACTTGCCAACTTCTATTATAGTTGGCCAAAGAAGCCAAGCCCGTTTAATCAAGCTATAAATGAGGATCTGCAGGTATTCATTCTCTTGCCAGTTTAAAGCCAATGTAGTTAGCAGATCGTGGCTTGATTGAATAGAATAAGCTAGAAATGATGATCAAAAGCAAGATTCTTGAGACTAATATTGAATTATATGTAATCTAATTCTGGGAAATGGCATTTCAGACCCTCTGTGAGATAGGAGAGGTTGCGGCAAGTGCGATGGGGTTGTACTTCCAGAGAGAAGAAACTAAAACTAATTGGATTCCAACAGCTAAAGCAGCAAGTGGTGGTGGTGGAGAGCCATGGCGCAATTCTATGGTTAAATGTTTTAGGTTCCTGCAGGAAGCAGAAACTGAGGTTTAGCATGCGAGTGGGTTTGTAGTCAAAACTAGTGCCCATGGTGCTGAATTTTTTAGATATGATACGAAATGCAGTGAGCAGTGGCTTAAAATAGTTGAAAGATGATCTTATATGTTCCGTATTTGTTGGATGTATCATATGATCTGGGAATTTAGTGCATGAAAGGTGTTCATCATGTTGGAAGGTGATCCCACATGTTTCTTGAATGGTTGACTGACCCCATCTATTATTTCTTTCAGGTTATTCGGATGTTTCTTCCATAACATTTGTACTTTTTTAAATTCAAATTTTAAAAATATTTGAAGTTGACAAAAATCAAACTTGATTGCCCAAAATTTAATGGATGTTAGTGTATAATATAAAGATTTATATTTAATGCATAAACACGGTAAATTATATGGTGTCAAATTATCAAAATATAATGTACCATACTTGTATGTAGAGATGAAACATTTGTCGGATTTCAATCCGATCCGGATCGGTTTTTATCCGATCCGGTTTTTCTCATAGAAAAAAACCGGTTTATAAAATAACCGGTTCGGTTTTTAACCGGTTTGGGGGGCCGGATATCCTAACTGGTGTAACCGGTTTCGGTTTTAAAAAACCGGTTTTTTTAAAAAACCGGTTATAAAAAAACCGATTTTAATATTACAGATTGCTCATAGGGAATCGATTCCTCCCAAGGGGGTACCGATTCCTCACTGAATGGTTTGGCTCCGAGATTTCTAGAATGCTCGGAGGGAACCGATTCCCCCATAGGGGGTACCGATTCCCCCTATTCAACGGTCGAAATATTTGAATTTTACACTTAGGGAACCGATTCCCTATGAGAGGAAACCGATTCCTATGAGAGGGTACCGATTCCCCCACGCTCCAAGCATTTTTATTAAATGTTTTCACACTTAAACGGCTATATTATCTTCATTAATTATCACTAACGTTCAGAAGTGATTCAAGGGTATTTAAGCAAGCTTAGAAGCCATGATCAAAGACAAGAAACATCAAGCAACTAGAATCAAGAGAGAATCAAAGAGAAAGCATCAAACCTCAAGTTCGATAAATTCAAATACTTAATTGAAATACTTAATTAACTCAACATAATTGAAATACTTAAATACTTCCAAGTTTGATAAATTCAAATACTTAAAAACTTCCAAGTTCGATAAATTCAAATACTTAAAAACTTCAAGTTCGATAATTGAAACAAAGTTTACGATAATTGAAATAAAGTTATAAATAAACTACATTGCCATCTTCTTTCATCTTCGCCTTCTTCGTTTGGAGGGGATATTCCAAGTTCGACTTCTTCAATGTGTAAGTTTGCTTCCAAATCGGTATCAATTGCATCTTCTAGGGTGGTGATATGTTGCTTACGAGCCGCTCCATCCAAATAATCCTTTAAACAATGCATACTTCCACCGACTCGGGACTTAGTCTTGATCGTTGCGATATAACCCTGCCACTAACAGAAAAAGCGGATTCCGAAGCTACCGTAGAAGCTTGGACGGTTAGTAAATCACGGGCCATGGCGGCTAGAATCGAAATTGTGCTTCTTTTCTTTCCACCAAGCTAAAATATCTAAACTTTCAAACTCTTCAAATGTCATTTTTGATAGAAAATCGCATGACATGTTTCCCAACTCGCTACTTGGGGTGGTAGTACGTGATCGTTTGGATTGGGAATTTACAAGAGTGTTAAAAAGATTCAAATTTATGTTACTTGGACGTCTACTAGATGATTCCGCATTCATTTCATTTGATCGTGTATTACACTACTTGATCCGTATTTAGTTAAATAAATTGCAAACATGTCTCAAAACATTTGTTAAAATAATTTATTGGTTTTGGACAAAGTTGGGTTCATCATCGGTTAGATTAAAAGCAAACGCAATTTGTTCAATTAGTGTTTTAACCCCACCAACATTTAAACGTTTGGGGATGGGGTAAGGGGAGGTAATAGTAGGCTGCCCCCACAAGTTAAACAGCTTCCTTAGGTAGCCTCCAAATATGAAAGTCCTCCATGGGACTCGAGAACCACGCTAGTTAAAAACCTTGTTGCTTAAAAACCTCTGGGCAAATCGGTTATTTTGGCTATAGTTTCCCAACTCGAATCCAGATAAATGTTTGGAACTGACCCCTCTCGAAAAGCCGATCGTGAAATGTTTGCAATATTTCTCTTTGCCTAAGGCAGTATGCATCATCATCCAAGTTGAGTTCCAACGAGTTGGACAATCCAAATTAGGACCCAAAGCTTTTTTTATTAACGGACTTACAAAATCGTTTCATTTAGTTTTGCTGTTGTTACAAAGAACCGATTTTATCATGTTTTAAATTCTAATCTAATCGGCTCAATACCTCCAAACCGGCTTGCACGATAATTAATTATGTGTGCAACGCAACGGGTATGAAAAAACGCACCGTCTAAAATCGGTGAAAGTAATATTTTCAATCTTGGAACCGCGTTTGTATTATTCGATGCATTATCAAATGATATAGAAAAAACTTTATTTTCTAATTTATAAAGACAAATTACCCTTTTTAAAAGTGTAAATAAATTAGTACCGGTATGCGGCTCACCGAATAATTCAAACGCAATTGTTCTTTTCATCATTTGCCAATTATCTTGATCTACCAATGTGACGTAACGGCTAAAAAAAGAATTTCCGTATTATGAGGGGAACTCCAAACGTCACATGTAAGCGACACACCATAACGGTGTTCTTGGAATCCTAAAATCATTTTTCCCTCGCCGTACGCCACATTTTTATAGCATCTCTTCTAAGGTAGTACGATTTACTTGAGTATAACGTGGGTGCATTAGTTGTTGAATTGTTATCGTGAAATCTTCATCATCAAAGTGGTCGAACGGCAATGCTTTTGTAATCACGAACTTTGTAAACGCTTCTCGTAATTTTTCGTTGTCGTAACAAAAACACCACCTTGCGGTGTAAGATTCGATTGACTAGGATCTGATCTTGAGCGAAGTGCCTTGCATGATTTTGTCAAATGGTTCTTCAACGTTGTGTTCCTTCCGATGCAAGAAACTTTAGACAAAGTTTACAACGCGCCCTCCTCGAGCCATTTGACATCTCACATAAATCGTAGTGATCCCAAATGTCTTTTGTTTCGAGTGTGTTCGATCACTCTCACGACTTCAAGGTTTCCCCGACGGAAGATTCAGCGTGTTACTCATGATGAACAAAAAATTACAAAAGTAAGATTTGAGAGA